GAGAGAGAATATTAAGCAGGCTCTATACTCAGCGCGGAGACTGACGCAGGGCAGTCTTACAACCCTGAGATCATGACCTGAGCCAAAATCAAGAGTCAGATGCTTAACCAACTGAGCCACTCAGGAGTCCCTAAAGAATATCTTAAAAGCAGCCAGAACTCTCTTTCTCTCTCAAACACAGAAATCTTAAAAAAAAAAAAAAAAAAAAAAAAAGAAAAAGAAAAAATAAGTATACAGTGGGCGCCTGGGTGGCTCAGTCTTGTAAGCATCCAATTTGGTTTCGGCTCACATTGTGATCTTAGGGTCATAAGATAGAGCCCCATGTCAGGCTTCCTCAGTGCAGACTCTGCTTAGGATTATTTTCTCCTTCTGCCCCTCCCTCCTGTGCTCTCTTGCTCTCTCTCTCAAATAAATAAATCTTTTTTTAAAAAAGGTTTTGGGGGGGGGGAGGGGAAAAAAAATAAAAATAAAAAATAAAAAAGGTTTTAGGGGTACCTGGGTGGCTCAGTGGTTTAAAGCCTCTGCCTTCGGCTCAGGTCATGACCCCAGGGTCCTGGGATCGAGCCCCATATCGGGCTCTCTGCTTAGTGGGGAGCCTGCTTCCTCCTCTCTCTCTGCCTGCCTCTCTGCCTACTTGTGATCTCTGTCTGTCAAATAAATAAATAAATAATCTTTAAAAAAATAAAATAAAGGGGCGCCTGGGTGGCTCAGTGGGTTAAAGCCTCTGCCTTCAGCTCAGGTCATGGTCTCAGGGTCCTGGGATCGAGCCCCGCATCGGGCTCTCTGCTCAGCGGGGAGCCTGCTTCCCTCCTCTCTCTCTGCTTGCCTCTCTGCCTACTTGTGATCTCTGTCTGTTAAATAAATAAATAAAAATCTTTAAAAAAATAATAAAATAAAATAAAATGTTTTAAAAAGGTTTTAGTTATTTATTTGACACAGAGAGAGACAGCGAGAGAGGGAATTAAAGCAGGGGAAGCGGGAGAGGGAGAAGCAGGCTTCCCGCTGAGCAGGGAGCCCGATGCGGGGCTCCATCCCAGGACCCTGAGATCATGACCTGAGCCAAAGGCAGATGCTTAATGACTGAGCCACCCAGGTGCCCCTCAAATTAAGAAATCTTTAAGAAAAGAAGTGGGGTGCCTGAGTGGCTCAGTCAGTTAAGCATCTACATTCGGCTCAGGTCATAACCCAAGGTTCTGGGATCGAGCCCCGCATCAAACTCTCTGCTCAGCAGGGACCTTGCTTCTCCCTCTCCCTCTGCCTGCCTCTCTGCCTACTTGTGTCTCTATCTGTCAAATAAATAAATAAAATCTTAAAAAGAAAATAATTAAAAAAAAAAAAAAGCCACCAGAAGGGAGGAAAACATACATGAAGAATCAAAATTAGAGTGACAACACACTTCTTATCAGAGTCAGGAGACCATGCAACAATGTGCTGAAAGGGAAAAACAACCTGTCAATCTTATATTCTGTATCAGTCAAAAAGATCCTTCAAAGAAGGAAACACACTAGCTAATTTTTCATACAAACAAAAACTGGGAGAATTAATATATTTTTTAAGATTTTATTTATTTATTTGACAGAGAGAGATGGAGAGCGGGAACATAAGCAGGGGGAGTAGGAGAGGGAGAGGCAGGCTCTCGGCTGAACAGGGAACTGATGTGGGGCTCCATCCCAGGACCCTGGGATCATGACCTGAGCTGAAGGCAGAAGCTTTAACCCACTGAGCCACCCAGGCACCCCTTACCAACCTTATTTTTTTTTACACTCTTTTACTAACTGTGTCCTGGCCTTCTTACCATTCCAACAGTTTCTTGGCAATCACGGAGCCTTTGTGTTTACTGTTCACGGTGACTGATCTATTCCTCCCCCAGATACTCATAGAATTTGATGCCACTCTTCATGCTTCTATTCAAGAAAGCTTTCCCTGACCACCTTACCTAAATGAGCCCTGTGGATTTCTATCATTTTCTATTCTCATGCTCTTTATCTTCCTTGACCAACATGTTTCATTATATGACATTATTTACCTATTTATTTATTTACTTACTTTCAGTTTCTCCCTGACTACATAAAACTGCATTTGAGAATGGGCAAGTTATTGATGTCGTTCATGACTGTATGGATAGCGCCCAGTACAATGCCTGGCTAGGAGCAAGTAGTCAAAATATTTGCAGAACTTATGAATGAATGCAGTTATTCATTCAGACACATGCAGAAATGCAAAAGAGCTGGACAGCCACTGAATCCGACATAGAATGGTTGCACCAGAAACAAAAGAGAAGCCTTCCTTGGCGAAATGGGAGGGAAATAGAAGAAAAACAAAGAGAGTAAGAAATGAGATCAGACGGAAGTTCGTTTGGTAACCCAAAATGAGATCTCAATTTCCTCCCTCCACAGGGAGGGAGTTTTCTAAGCACCATCCCACCTGTTTCTCCTCCTCCTGTGTGACCTGTGAGGTTGGTTCCCGGCAATGATGGTTCCCTCCTGCCTTTGCCTTCCTGGGTTCCAGCTTCTTGGCCCTCCCCTCACAACTATCCAGGACTCCTGTCCTTGCTCCCATAAGGTCACACCCGACTGAGAAATGGAGTGTCTCCTTGCAAGAAAAGAACTACTAAATGGCATAGACCTTTTTTTTAAAATGATGAGTTCAAAACATTTGGCCAAATATGCAATAAGAAGTAAAAATAATATTGATAAAGACTTCACAGAAAAGAAGTATGATGGGAATGAAAAACGACATCACATCAGTAGGAGAATGATCTTGTTTTAGATTCATTCAGACTCCTCTTTGGAGCAAACAGAGAACAGTGGTTGAGAACACAGACTTATGAGCCAGACCTCCTTAAAGGCTCATTGCTACTTCTCCCACTAGCTGTGTGACCCCGGGAAGTCACTTACCCTGAGCCTCTGTATTCTCATCTAAAAAGTAGTTTGATAAAAACATTACCTGCCTCATGGGGATATTGTGAAAGTTAAGTAAGCCGAAGTATTTGCTCTGCTTACAACACAGCCTGGTTTATAGTAAGCACAGTGTTAAATATTAATATTCTTATTATTACTGTTGTTATTTTGGTAACAGGAAAAGAAGGTTCATGAGACATTTTTAGGATTTAATTCAATGTCGAATTTAACTTCGTAAAATGCGAAGTTCACAGACTCCAACTTTCAACCTCAAATATGCTGAAAGCAAATGAATGTGTTCACTTAGTATAAAATAACTTCTGTTTATCCAACCCTCCTCTATATAAAATGGAGAGGCTCTTTGGAAAGTCACAGTACATCAGAACCCTGTTTCTAGCTGTACTCCCTGCATGTGGGTCAAAAAATTACGAAGAGCAGTGCTTCTTTAAACTGTATAAAAATCACCTGGGGATCTTGTATAAATGCAGCTTCTGTTCTGCAGGACTAGGGAGGACCTCACAAGCCCCAGAAGAAGCTGATGTTAGGTATGAAAAACTTAACAATAAAAAAATGCTAAAACCCCACATAAACCAAATGAAACCACTGAGAAAACAATCCATATCCCTCCCCCAAACCAACAAAACTGCCTCTCACCTGGGCCTAGCCTATCTCCTTCACTGCCTTCTTGGCATCCTCTCCTACACTAACTCTGCTCTGGCCTCCCTACAGTTCCTCAAACTAAACCACCACGCCTTGAGTAGCAAGGACACAGATCATCTCTAGATATGCTCAAGTTCAACACAGTATGAAACCTGATTTCTCTGACGATGGTTATGAATTAAATGCCCCATAATGCAAATCCAGCTCCTTAGTAATTAAAGAAGAGAGGCAATTGCAGAAAAAGCCAGAGGAAGGTGTGAAGGCATGGGAAGAGGAAGGAGCCCAACGAACCCATTCCAAATCCAACAAATATCAAAACATCCCTTTGACCACGGGGAGAAGAAATTCAACTGGTTTCTTCAAAGACAGCCCTGTAATTCCCATAGCGAAAAGCCGATGGTGCAGAGAAAGACTCTGAAGTATTTCAGGCAGAGGACCTTACCCAATGACACCAAGTTACTATAGTTCTCCAACATCACATCCACGTACAAGTCCCTCTGAGCAGGGTCCAGGCACTCCCACTCCTCCTGAGAGAAGTCGATGGCCACATCCCTGAAAGTCACCAAGCCCTAAAACCAAAAACCCATACATTACTTGTGAAATTACAGAAATTTAAGGATTTAAGAAAGTATTTCCAAGAGGGGGAAAAAAAGGATCGTGAAGGATAAACTGCAAGAAGAGGAAGATGTAATATCAAGTAGGCTAGAAGCCTGCGGTACGTACAGGTAGGGAAAAGTAAAGAAATTTGTATGACTAAGGCAGAGTGTCTTCATGTTCTAGAAGAATCCTGTTACAGCAAAAAAAAAAAAACCTTCTTAGATATTATGAAATAACTAGACCTGTCTGATAATCTATAAAATCATCCCAGTTTCTCTTCTATTAAATAAAAATATTTAATAGAAATATGGGTGGCTCAGTGGGTTAAGCCTCTGCCTTCGGCTCAGGTCATGTTCTCAGGGTCCTGGGATCGAGCCTCATATTGGGCTCTCTGCTCAGCAGGGAGTCTGCTTCCCCCTCTTTCTCTGCCTGACTCTCTGCCTACTTGTGATCTCTCTGTCAAATAATTAAATAAAAAATCTTTAAAAAAAATAGTGGGGGGCGCCTGGGTGGCTCAGTGGGTTAAAGCCTCTGCCTTCGGCTCGGGTCATGATCCCAGGGTCCTGGGATCGAGCCCCGCATCGGGCTCTCTGCTCAGCGGGGAGCCTGCTTCCTCCTCTCTCTCTGCCTGCCTCTCTGCCTACCTGTGATCTCTGTCAAATAAATAAATAAAATCTTTAAAAAAAAAAAAATAGTGGGGGTGGGGGGAAGCCCCAGGTATATGACTACGTATACATACACACAACCTATTATGTTCCTGCCTCATAAATTCTTTATTAACGTGAACTGCTACACCAACTTTTCCCTTTAAGGAATATAAAAAATAAATCTTTTTTCCCAAATGCACTATAAAATCTCTATTTTAGAAAAATAGAGATTTTATAGTTTTTAGAAAAATGATTTCCATTAAATTAAGGATTATTGTTAAGCCTCAAGTAAATCACTCTGTTAGAGTACATTGTAAGTCTTTTCTCTTATAATGGTAAATACGTAAAACGTAAGATGTTTTTATTAGCTGCAACTCAGTTCATCATATAGATAGATTAATATCTCTACTATATTTATACATTTAGGTTGAACAAAAATTCTATTTTCTTCATTCTAGGAATCTATTATCATCCAGTATTTAGAAATCCCAATTACCTTCTTACTTGTTACCATCAACCACCCCTCACCTAACAATTTCCTCATTCCTGAGTTGGAGGACACTGAAAGGGCACAACATATATGACACAGTTGTCACCCAAGATCTGCGCATCCTGGTCAATAACAAAATGAACTTTGACACTGGTGTTCAACAATTACAGCACCACTTTCCCTAGGAAGACCCACTCACCATCCCTCTCATCCTAAAAGCTTTGCAAAGCCTCACAGAAACTGAGGCTAAGGCCAAGAAAACCCAAATTCCATCTTCTCTCTCTGAGAAACTCAGGTCTGTGAAGAAGTTCCAAGTTTGCCTGTGTGGTCAAATGAGACCCTCATCACTGAAGCATCACCCCACAGACCTGACACAGGAATGAAAAAATTCTGGTAAGGGAATTGGTGCAGCCCTAGTGGAACAAAGACAGGTGATAACAACGGGCACTGCCCAAGACAGCCTACTGTCCTAAGTACGTCCTAAGTAAACCCCAAAACTCTCCAGAGAAGGCACAAGCAACTGAAAATGTTCTCTTGGATGACCATCCAGCTGTCTAAGGACATTGTATCCTGACTGGCTTCTTTCCTAGATGCCTGCCAATCAGCACCTTAGAAGAAGGAGTAACTGTTGTTTTGAAAATGTCTACAGTCTTTCATTCTCTCTTTTCTCCTTCCCTTATAGAAATCCTGTTTGTGCCCTGATAGATGAAATCAATCTACTCTTGGTTTTCCTTGTATACAAGTAAAAATGTGCTAATTGCTAACTATATTTCTTTGAGCTATTCTTTGACAGGAGCTCAACTATTTCCTTCAAAAGACTCCTATCCCTCCACTGCTTTTAACAGAAGACTGAGCACACAGTTGTTGGATGTGTTCAATGACATGATGATACTGATCGGAAAGGCACATAGGACACTGGGTTATTTCGCACAATATTTTACTGGGACAGGAACTGAGACTGGGTTCAGGACTGGGGTTCTATTACGTAGAAGGCTTTAGGACAATTAAGGAAAAGGTTCATATGACCTAAAAAAATCACAATATTTCAAGGACAGAGAAATACCAACTTACATCAGTCATGGTTCTAGAACTGCAAGAACTAATTAATAATCCATGGGGTTCCTCTATTGGTGAAGCACAGAATCCAGAAAAGCCAGAGCTGGGGAAGGAAAAAAAAGCTTTAGACCAGGTGTGCTTAAGTGATCCCATCCTGACTGAAGCTAATATAAGCTTTTATCTCTTCCATTCCTGCTTCTGCTTCACACCTCCCACAACCATCTGTGGAATCTAAACTCTCACCTAAAACCCGAACGTCCTTCAGTAGGAAGGTTTCTGGCAGCGCCTCATTCTGGGGATACTGATACAGTCTACCTCAGTAGACCAGAGGTTGGTCTACTGAGTGCTGCACAGACTGGAGCCTCCTCCCGCTACTCTCACCTCTCAGAGCTGCGAAAGAGGTACGTGGTCCAAGCCGCAACATCCTTCATGGGCTTGGGGCTGAAGAAAGTTGGTCAAGACACAGAAGTAGATGGGACATACAATTGCCTGAGCCCCAAAAGCTGACCTCTTAATGCATTCAGAACATCCATGCAATGGAATGCTATAAAACTATGCTAAGTTGGGGGAAATCATCAAGATATGTTGTCAATACAAAATACAGCTTACAGGATGTATAGTCTGATTCTATTTATAAATTATGCATGTATATCGATAGAGAAAAGACTGACAATCAGATGTCAATAGATGAAGAAAGTGTTTAGGAAGTTATATACCCATATACAATAAAGTTTTTATTGTGGTCCTAATGTCCTTTTTAAGTATTCTGCAGAGTTGCTGTAACCACAGCCATGCATTATATTAACTACATAATTTCTATATACACTCACGTCCTGCCTAGAAAAAAATGGCTAAAATTCCCCAAGAAAAGTCATGAATACTTTGATGAGATCGCAAGCCTGCTTCTTTTCACGTCTTCTGACACACGGGTTTAATTTGTAGCTGACCTATCTTTTTAGACGTGATACTCTCCTGGTAAGTGCTAAATCACCTGATCCCGTTAGTCTCACTTAGCAGTGAACATTAGTAGGATAAAACCTGTAAGTATAAAACTTGGGACGAATTCCATTTGCCTCCACAAAGCTGGTCATGACCCAACAGCATTGCCTATAATTACCTTCCTGTGAGTTCCTAAGACAGGTTGCCTGCATTGTTTATTGGCCTTTGTTGCTGTCAGCTTTAGTTATTCCCATGTATCTTTAGGATTCCTTGTCTTAAGGGTAACAACAATGTCTTTCAGTTATTGTATTACCTCCCAAGTACAATCTCAGGCTCTTAAAATTGGGGCAAATTTTTACCCAAAATTCCCTTATGGAAATGTATCCTTAAATAGCTAGAGAAGTACAGATGTATACACACAAATATTCACCCAGGGTCACCAGGGTGGCAAAGTCAGTTAATTGGCCAACTCTTGGTTTCAGTTCAGGTCGTGATCTCATGGTCATGGGGTTGAGCCCCACCTCAGACTCCACACTCAGCAGAGTCTGCTTCAGATTCTCTCTCCCGCTCCCTCTGGCCCTCCTGCTCATGTGCTCGCTCACTCTCTCTCTAAAATAAATAAATCTAAAGAAAGGAATATTCAGCCAAAAATCATTTATGATAACCAAGAATCAGAAACTACCTAACAGTAAGCAAATGGTTTGCTCGACTGTGGCCTGCTATGTCATTAACTGATTAACTGATGAAGAAAACACACATAATCAATTCCATAGGGAGGCAGGCAGGTTTGTAAAGTATACACAATATGGGAAGTGTATCCGAAATTAAGAAAAAACTCTGGTGCTGGACTTTCAGGATATGGCCTTGACAATGACCAATTTCTCAACACTTCTATTTCCTTGTCAATAAAAGAACGATAGGAACATTGTCTGCCACAGATGACTGCAATGAAATTATGTAAGAAAATCTACATAAAAAACTGGTGTACATGGGACGCCTGCGTGGCTCCATTGGTTGAGCCGCTGCCTTCGGCTCAGGTCGTGATCCCGGTGTCCTGGGATCGAGTCCCACATCGGGCTCCTTGCTCAGTGGGAGCCTGCTTCTCCCTCTGCCTCTGCCTGCCACTCTGTCTGCCTGTGCTCACTCTGACAAATAAATAAAAAAATAAAATCTTAAAAAAAAAAAAAAAAAAACTAGTGTACAATAGGGGTGCCTGGCTGGCTCCTTCAGAGGAGCACATGGCTCTTGATCTCAGGATTATGAGTTCGAGCCCCACAATGGGTGCAGAGATTACTCAAAACAACAACAACGGGTGTACAATAATTACTTAATATAAGTTTTGGCCATTATTAGAGACAGAGAAGATTACTGTCCTTTATTCTACTATAATGACAGTTAATGCACCTTTCCATTTTTTCATAATAAAATCTGCGCTTCTCAGGCCCACGTTCCTACAAAGTTAACTAAAGCTTCACAGCCCAGCCTTGAGCCTCCAATTCTTCCTTAATAACAACATAAGAGAAACAAGTTCTCAGAAAGATATATAGGAGATAGCTCCTCCTGCCAGAAGCTGCAGACAGAGACAGGGCTCAGCATCATAAAACTGGCTCGGAAAATACAACCCAATTAGGTGCCAAGAAGAACATGAACCAGAGACTCAATCTTTTTCTGTGCAAATTGGTCGTTTATTTGGATATTGGTAACTATAACCTTCTTATTCTACCTTCTGGTATTATTATCTGTCATTGGAAATATTATTTATCAAGTAGATTTTTTAAACATTTGTTTAAGATTTTTATTTATTTATTTGATAGAGAGAGAAAGAGCAGCAGAGGGAGAGGGAGAAACAGACTTCCCGCTGAGCAGGGAGCCCAATGTGAGACTCGATCCCAGGACCCCGGGTTCACGACCTGAGCTGAAGGCAGATGCTTAACTGACTGAGCCACCCAGCTGCCCCTACAAAATAGATTTTGATAAGACAGAACATATACATTAGAAATTATCACTATTTTGGGGCGCCTGGGTGGCTCAGTGGGTTAAGCCTCTGCCTTCGGCTCAGGTCATGATCCCAGGGTCCTGGGATCGAGCCCCACATCGGGCTCTCTGCTCAGCAGGGAGCCTGCTTCCTCCTCTCTCTCTGCCTGCCTCTCTGCCTACTTGTGATTTCTGTCTGTCAAATGAATAAAATCTTAAAAAAAAAAAAAAAGAAATTATCACTATTTTTTACGGAAGTAACCTTTAAAATAATCTAATTCTGAAAGTCTGTCTTTGTGGCCCTTCTAATTTTTAAAAAGGTGTTTCTATACTCCTAAAAGTTGTGAATACTATAGGTTTTTAAAGATTTTATTTATTTATTTGAGAGAGAGAGAGAGAGCATGAGAAGGGGGAGGGTCAGAGGAAGAAGCAGACTCCCCACCAAGCAGGGAGCCCAATGTGGGACTCGATCCTGGGACTCCAGGATCATGACCTGATGGGTTTTTAAGTAAGAAATCACTGACATTTCCTTCTTCTTTCTACATATTTGAGATTAAAATAAAACCCACATCTGGGCTGGATTTCTTCTTCAAAATAAGAGCTAAAGTATCTTCAACTCAACTCTACCACCCATTACTGTTATCTTATTCTGCAGAAACAAAACCAGACACATAATTTCACAGGGAAAAAAATTTTAAACAGAAACACACCAAAATATTAAGAATTGATTAACTTTAGAGGATGTAATTTTAACTTCCATCTCTATATTTTTCTTGGATTGCTGAACTTTTTGCAACAAACCTGTTTTAATTCCATAATCAGAAATATAAAGATAGTGCCAAGTATGAAAAATTGAATAATAGGGAAGGGGCATATTTCAGTCATTAATAAAACTGAAAAAAAAAAAAAAAAAAAACACAAAACACCAAAAAAACCAAAAACAAAAACAGACCCAACGCTTCGAAAATCAGTGGGCCAGAAACAAAGTACACCTACCCGCTGTTGAACATCTCTAGCTGTAGCTCACCATAACACTGAGACACTTTCACTGTAGAGATTCCCTCATAATGGGTGCCTGGGTGGCTCAGTTAAGTCAGTTAAGCATCTGCCTTTGGCTCAGGTCATGATCCCAGGATTCTGAGATTGAGTCCTTCATGGGGCTCCCTGCTCAGCGGGGAGTCTGCTTCATCCTCTGACCCTCCCCCCCGTTCATGCTCGCCCCTCCACTCTCTCTTTCACAAACATAAATAAAATCTTTAAAAAAAAAAAGATGCCCCCATAATGAATATTAATTATGTAAGTCACCTTCAAAGTCTGAGGAAGGAAATATATGCACCTAAGCAGAATGACATTTGGTAAGAACAGACGCTCAACAGGTGTGGCTATACCTCTCTAATTCTTCACTGAAGAGTCAAATCAAAAACATTTTGGAGACAATCCTTGAAAAATGTCTTTCAAAATTATCTCCTACTGAATGGGATTCTTATATAACTCATAATATTCCTGGGGAATTTGTTCGTAACTACAACTATTACTTAATATTTTATTATTTACATTTTTCCTTCTTTTGATTCTTTATAAACATATTTTTTATTAGGTGCACATTATTCCATTACAGGATATACTGCAATTTACTTAACTGTTTCCTTATCACTGGACCCTAATTTTATAAGTTCCTTCCCATCTATTAAATCTTCATTCCAGATCAATGAAACCAGACCTTTTCTATGTCATCTACACTTAACAATCTCATGAAATTACAGACATTTTGTTCACTTAAGAAAAATAAATTCAGGGGCACCTGGGTGGCTCAGTGGGTTGAAGCCTCTGCCTTCGGCTCAGGTCATGATCCCAGGGTCCTGGGATCAAGCCCCACATCAGGCTCTCTGCTCAGCAGGGAGCCTGCTTCCTCCTCTCTCTCTGCCTGCCTCTCTGCCTCCTTGTGATCTCTGTCTGTCAAATAAATAAATAAATATTTTAAAAAAAAGAAAGAAAAATTCACAAATATTTACAAAAATCCTGCCCAATTTCAAGGGGTTTGCATGGCAGCTCATAAATGGCACATGACCTCAGGTTAAGGCATCCTGCACTAGACCATTTGAGCATCTGGTCACTTTTTTAAACTTGCAAGCACCTATCACAATCATCTTCATATTTCTCTTCAAATTTCAGTTATGGAAAGTTGATGTGAAATGATCCAGAATCAGCATGTAACAGCAAATCTTAACATTCACTAAGCCTGTATCATGGGGCAGGCCCTGTTCTAAGGCGCTTTACATGCACTGACTCATTTTACATCTTTATAACCCCCACAAGATAGGCATTACTTTGTCTTAATTTTGTAGATGTGACACAGAGAGCCCAAGTCACCTAAGCTCACAGAGCTAGTAACATGTAGAGCCAGGATTTGAATACAGATGCTCTAAGTCCAGAGCCTTATTCTTAACCATAACACAGTACTGCCTCTACAACACTCACAAAGTGGGACCTGAAATAACTCATGTCTAGCAATGTTACAGATTTCTACCTTAAGATTAACTGAATGTCTGTCTTTGTTGGTGCAAACAGCAAACCCCTATGCTCAAACCCCAATTACATCCCCACCTCCTAAAAGCCTTAAAACATTGTCATTTATTAACTGAAACAATCCTCCTACCTTGCCTTGATCTAAAAATCATGACTGTGGAGAAGACACAAAACAGTTCGCACATGATACCAAGTAAATACCAATCTCCTTAAGTAATCATAGTCTAAAATGAAACTCTAACACTAATCTAGGAGGTGTATTTCTACACCATCGGCATGTTCAGAAAGGGAGAATGCACCCAAGGATTTGAATAATTTGCCATTTGAAGAGCTAGCTATTGATTGAGAATAAGGGCAAGAGAGGGTCACCAAGAAGAGAGATACATCAGCACAGTGGGTCATTCACCAGAAGGAAAACTCAGGATAGACACTACCAGTGATACTGCAGGCCAAGGAAAGCAAATATTCTCATGATCTAAAAACAAAAGTAACTGTCTTTAAAAGAGATAGAGAGAGAGAAACACAAACTCACCTGAACCTTGATTTCAAAATATGCAACAATTCTTTCTTCCTTCTCAGGGTCCTTCTTAGAAACCCAGCAGCGGCGGGAGAAAAAAGAATCATGAGACACCAGCATTGCTTGGAGCACAGAGGTAGCAAAAATACACACACACACACACACACACACACACAAAACAGAAACAACGGGAAACCAAAACGCCATCTAGAGCCATATCTGCCTTCATCCACACGAAACCAAATGGAATTGAAAAGGAACACTGGAATCTCTCTGTGGGTTGACAGCAATTGTTGGGGAGAGAGGTCTGGTCGCAGTGGCTCTGAAACAGGGAGCTGGCTCCCAGGGACGCGCCCCTTCCAGGAATCTTACCTCTGGAACCTCCCCATCACGTCTTCCTAGTGGCATGTCATGAGGACACTTCTGGATGTACAATGCTCATCCCAAGACTGGACCTACGCCTTCGGGCGTGAAACGTTCACTCTAGGGCTTAGTGAAGGACTCTTTCTCTTGCGGTCACTTCACTTTGGCAGGCCCAAAGAAAGTCTAGAGGAAACTTGGAGCACACAGCCAAAGCAAAACCACAAGGCCACGCAGCTCATCACCCCGTCACACATTCCCAATCGCATACACCATCACGGAGACACACTCCGGTCCTGCCACGCCGTCTGTCACACACCAGCCTTCTCAGCTGCTCGCGCGCACACAGACTGGAGGCTCCAAACGCGACACGCCCTGTCCGCAAGCCGGGCCTCCTCACCTCGGGAGCCTCCCGGAGTCAACCCCCACCCTCCCTGCGGGTTCCGACCCCGCGCTGTTTACTTCCTCCGACGCTAGCAACTCACCACGCCGAGTCCAAAAACCTTCAGGACACCGGAAACGGACCCACAGACTTATGGGAAATAAAAGCCGGGAAGTCCTCGGAGGCTGGGAACCTGGCCATCCAAAGAGCTCTCCCCCAGCAAACTCGCCCCGCCCAGAAAAAGACCTGTGCCCGGAGACTTCTGGGAAATGTAGTCCGCCGTGGGCAAATACTCAGGAGTGGGGACCCTGGATCCTCAGAATGCTCCCAGCATGCAACTCGGCTTCGCGTAGCAAAGGCGCTTTTTCCAAAGTCAATTTGGAGTTGTTCTAGTCTTTGCTGCAGGACGTAGGTCCGGGCTCCACGAGCCTTGCTGCTCAGTTGTCTTTTATGGTGTTGTCAACATCTTTGATGAATGGTTTGGTTGTTGATGAATGGTTCTCAAGGAAGGCTGAGGAACAAATTCTGGACTCCCGAGAAGGTGGAGATGAGAAGGGACCAGGGACTTAGGCTTCAGTGAGCGGGAACGTCTCAAGTAAGGTCCATGGGAATAACCTTAAGGCACAAAGTTTAAGAAGGTACTCACTATTAGAGTTATGTAAGTACTGACTTATACAACCTTATACTTACAACCCTGAAAGTGAGTTCTTCCTTAAAATTTGTGCCTGACACCTCACTCACCTCATGGCCACTACTTAAAATTCTTGAAAAAGTTAGACCACGAGCTTATCTAGTTTATGAGAGACTGGAGCAGGGTCTGGCAGTTGAACAGATGGGTGCGTCTTCCTCCAGGTGAGTTTGTGGGTCCAATCTGGCGAGTGGGACCTTAAGTGGAGTTGTTTATAGTCATGGGATAGTTTGTGCTTGTGTGAATCTTTGTTTCCCTAGATGTCAGGCGGTTTGTGTTACAGATTATTACCACTGTTGAAATACGTGGTCGTGGATTGATATTGTGATCATATGCAAAGGTCTCTTTGAACTGAGAGATGAGATGTGTGACATTGTGTGTTAATATCAGTAACCGAGAACGACTTAATATTTGTGAGTTTTTTTTATAAACTTTTCTTTTGTGTGCATAGTATGGTGATTATGAAGGTAGATCACTGTCCATCTGAGATTGAAAAACAGTACAGTGTTAACTGGCTTAGTATGTGTTAATTTGATTACCTGACTGCCAATCACTATATATACCTGAATAAATATGACTGTTGTTGTGAGTTTCATTATTTCTACAGTTTCATTACCTATAAAATAGAGTAGCAGTATTATTACATCTTCTTGTAGCATCAAATTTAATATGCATAAAAATATTTGCAATTTATCTGCCAAATGATTTTATAATGATATTTTATAATGAATCAGTGCTGTTTTATCAGAAAGACTGCAAATCAACATTTTAAGAAAGAAGAAATAGGGATGCCTGCATGGCTCATTCAGTTAAATGTCTGCCTTCAGCTCAGGTAATGATCCCAGAGTCCTCAGATCAAGTCCTGCATGGGGCTCCTTGCTTAGTGGGGAGCGTGCTTCTCCCTCTGCCTGCCTCTCTCTCTCTCCCTCCCTCTCTCTCTGACAAATAAATAAATAAAATCTTTTTTAAAAAGATAAAAGAAAGAAGAAATCAAAGTAACATGAGGTCATGGAGTGGCTTCTGTAGATTTCCAATCTTCTGTAATGTTAAGGTTACTTAGCCAGATAACTTTGAAAACCCTAGACTAAGGAAATAATTTCCTACTTGTGGAAGCAGGTAGTTTAGAGCAGAGCCCAGCATTAAGGGATCAGATGTTCTAGTATATAGGTCAGGCAAAGCAAGGAACCTGTTTGAGACTGCATAATTAGTCCATTAGAACACTACTTGTCTTATTCAAAAAGTGATAATTACATTGTGTTATATTCTGACTATACAAAAACCAGGCTACCATTTCCCGAACAGTGCCTGATTTCTCTGTTGCAGTTGGCAACTTTGAACCTAAATATTTGTATTTCTTCTGACATTTCTAACACTTTTTCTTCAGGTCTGAAATGGTAGATAAAAGTAGATGAAGAGCTAATGGACGTAGTATTAGGAAAGAAGATAAAATTCCTTTTCTATTACAATTTCAGAAGAAACCCCCAAGTGTTCCTGAGGGGGGAAATGTTTTTTTTCTGACCTTTTCTTTTTGTTGTTTCTCTTCCAAAAGTCTCTCCTTTGCTTCCTCCTAACTGGTTTCATTATTGCTTAAAAATCCTTGAAATGCTTTCCCTGTCATCAAACACAGTTACATTGGTTTCACTAATATCATTGCAGTAACAAATCTGGAAATGAAACATGCCCATAAAAAGTAGGATGGGTAAGGAGGTGTGGAGTACCTTTACATTGGAATAGTACACAGCAGCGAAAATTACTGAATCTAGTATGTGATGAGCAATGAGCCATAGAAATATATACACAGAGTGTTCCATTCATGAAATTTTATAAAGAAGCAAAATAAATTATACTTTGTGCTTAAGTGGAAGATAATGGAAAACAAGGATTGGTAAATAAAATTCAGGAATGTAGTAAGTTCTGAGAGGAGGAAACAGGAAAAGATAAGTTTGCAAAAGGGATTCAGAGTTATTTCATAACCCCACCGGCTGCTCCAAAAAGCCATCTTTGCATTGTTCCCGGGTCCAGCTCCAGGTTCATTGTAACCAACTCTGCCGCACACCTCTTGCACCACCACAGACTCTGGCAGCTTTATCACCATAGTCCTCCAACTCTTGCTTTCTTTTTAACCCAGAGCTTCAGATCACCAGTGTGCCAGGTCATGTCCAAGACAACTATAGACACCAGCTCCGAGATCATCACCAAGGACTTAGAGGAGAATTGTGGAGGAGGCAGAGAATAGAAGAGACGCACCTGCTAATGGGAAGGCTCATGAGGAAAATGGGGGGCAGGAGGCCAACAAGGAAGATGAAGAAGATGTAAAATGGTACAGCAGGAAGAGGAGGGGAATAGGAAGGTGAAAGAGAGGGAGATGGGGAGGCTTAGGCAGCTATGAACACAGGTGGCAGAAGATGATGAGGATGGCAAAGTTGACACTAAGAAACAGAAGACCTATGAGGATTTCTGGACAGTGAAAAAGGAAAAGTTAAACTTAACAGCATTTAAACATTTCCCCCCTTAGGACATTTGGGGGTTTCTTCTGAAATTGTAATAGAAATTTTATCCTATTCACCACACCCCCATTTCCCATCTCAGACTCTAAACGTGGTCACTTTCAAGTGGAGAGTCCCACCCACCCATACCCCACCTGGGCAGTGCCACCCACAGATGACACACGCACTCTCCACCAACGCAAAACCACACAGGAATCTACAACAGGGAAGAAAAAAAGAACCAAAACTTCCAAGGCCCTGCTTTTTTTCTTAAAAGTATTTTAAAAGGAGACATGGTATTTTATATTTATATTTTTGTACATATTGTTAGGGGTCAGCCATTTTTAGTGATCTCAGATGACAAAACTAGCCTTGTGAGCATTCTCTGCCCCACTTCTGACTTGACTTGTGGTATGGCCATGTTCATTATAATCTCAAAGAAGAAAATAAAACCATTTAAAAAAAAGCAAAACAGCAATAAGAAAATCTTATTCAAAGCATTCCAATAATTTTTTGGTGTGTATGTACTTAGCTGTACTATAAGTAGTTGGTTTCTATGAGATGGTTGAAAAGGCCAAAGGTAAATTTTTTCTTTTTTTCCCTTTTTTGCCTGTGAAGTTTCTGTTTATTTTCTTTGGCCTGTTTGATGTACGTGTAGAACAATGTTGTCCAACAAGAAAGCAGAATTTTATTTTGCTGAGTTGTTCTAACAACAAGAAAAGTTATTTCATGTATTGTATTTCTTAAACTGGATTATATTTACACAATTGTTTACTGTTATTTTGATATATTCCTCATCAGTTATAAGTATTAGTGTGTCTGTGATGAAATTTAAAAACATTTTGACATTTTAACAATGTTTATTCTTCCGATCTAAGAGCATGGAATGGTCTTCCATCTTTTTGTGTCTTCTTCAATTTCTTTCATGAGTGTTCTATAGTTCCTCGAGTACAGATCCTTTACCTCTTTGGTTAGGTTTATTCCCAGGTATCTTATGGTTCTTGGTGCTATAGTAAATGGAATCGATTCTCTAATTTCCCTTTCTGTATTTTCATTGTTAGTGTATAAGAAAGCCACTGATTTCTGTACATTGACTTTGTATCCTGCCACGTTACTGAATTGCTATATGAGTTCTAGTAGTTTGGGGGTGGAGTCTTTTGGGTTTTCCATATAAAGAATCATGTCATCTGCGAAGAGAGAGAGTTTGACTTCTTCATTGCCAATTTGGATACCTTTTATTTCTCTTTGTTGTCTGATTGCTGCTGCTAGGACTTCTAATACTATGTTGGACAAGAGTGGTGAGAGTGGGCATCCTTGTCGTGTTCCTGATCTCAACGGGAAGGCTGCAAGCTTTTTCCCATTGAGGATGATATTTGCTGTGGGTCTTTCATAGATAGATTTTATGAAGTTCAGGAATGTTCCCTCTATCCCTATACTTTGAAGTGTTTTAATCAGGAACGGATGCTGGATTTTGTCAAATGCTTTTTCTGCATCAATTGAGAGGACCATGTGGTTCTTCTTTCTTCTCATATTAATTTGTTCTATCACATTGATTGATTTGCGAATGTTGAACCATCCTTATAGCCCAAGAATGAATCCCACCTGGTCATGGTGGATAATCTTTTTAATGTGCTGTTGGATCCTGTTTGCTAGGATCTTGTTGAGAATCTTAGCATCCATATTCATCAGCGATATTGGTCTGAAATTCTCCTTTTTGGTAGGGTCTT